GTTTTATTTCTCATTACCCTACTGTGATTTGTTTGGTAATTAATGTCCCCAAGGCGAGTCTGTTTTGCCCATGACTAATTGCTGAGTGATCTCTCCCTGTCCTTATCTCGACCCACGAGCCTTTCGGTATGCTTTCTCTCCCCTGCTCAGCTGAGGAGGGCAGTGATAGAGCGGCTTTGGTGGGTGCCTGGCACCCAGCGAGGGTCAATCCACCACAAGATGGCACAAAGAATAAGCTCTGGGAAAAATCTCTGGCATTGATAAGACATGTAAAGATTGTTGGCATCTATTTTACAGAGATTTTAATCCTGAGTCTAAGGACAGGGATCTGGGACACAGGGGCAATTTTTTTTTACAACTGCTTATTCTCTTTGTATTTCTGTTTGCTTTGTTCATTCAATAGATAAGCCTTGGGTCAGAATTAATACAAGTATCACTGTGCTTCCTAAGTTTAGTATCAATTTCACTTGAGTATTTCTCATTTACTTTTCCCAATTTGTAGATGCAGACTCAGCACAGAGCACCTCATCTATCTCCCTTGTGCAGATCCTGAATATGTATCTGCTGTGTCCATGAACAGCAAGAGACTGTAGTAGGTAGGTGATGAACTGGAACAGAAGCCAAATACTGTCAATGTTGTGGACACCAGACTGGAATCTGGATTTATTCAGCCTACATCGTTACACTATACGGGTTTGAATAAAAGCAAGAGAGGGTGCCAAAGGAAAAGGTGCAGTTGAGAGAATCCGCTCCCTCTTCCCCTGTTCTCCTCTGCATTACTTAATACAGCACCCCGTATAATTTGTCTGCCCTGTTGCTGACATTAAAGCTGCCAGAAAAGGCAGCTTAAGTGGAGCAGGGGAGCAGTTCACTTCCTACAAATTGATTTCTATACTAGCTACAGCAATCATGTTCTTAATTCTACTGTAATTCTACCCTTTCCACCACTTCCATTCACGAAATGTACAGAATCCAGGTGCTATTTCCCAGGCATGTGCCTTGTAATGCAGGACATGCCTCAACAGAAGGGGGTACTTGTACTTTTCAACCTGTAAGAATGATGGCTTTTTCTCCAAGTATCAGCTTTGAATGTGGATGTATATATTTGGGGTACTATTTGTATGTGCTACGCTATGACGATGCAACAACTATGTGCAAAACCACTGTGGGCAACACAGATTAACTACTTGGGGTTACAGCTGGTGGGTCAAAGGGAACACTTCAAACAGAATGGCCCAAGCATGCCTGAGCATGGCGGAACGGCCCAGAGCCTGACGGCAATTTATCACTTAGGTCACCCTGCTGAGAAGTTTTTCTTTGGATTTCCTTTCATACAGTTGTTTCCTTATTTCTTTCCAACATGCATTAGGCAACAGATTCTGTTGCCTTTTATCTTTCTCCCTTCAGCAGACGATAATGCATTTTACTGCGCTTCCAAATAACAAACGTTATTTTTCCAAATACATTTTCTGTGAGCCTTTGGAGGAAAATTTCCCTCTTTTTTGACTAACATCAGCCTTACATTGTTTTGCATCAATAAACTGCTCAACGCACACATTAAAAAAAAATCCTATTAAATGAAAACTTTCATGAGAAAGAACATAATGTAGTTAGTTGTCTAAAACCAGCTATCATCTTCTACAATCCAGCCTTGCAAGAAAACGCTGTTTATTTCCTACCCCCAATCTCAGTCAATCCTTGGACAAGGGCTTTGTTTGGGTCATAGCCACAAAAATGTTAATAGCTCTTTCGGCACCTCCACAACTAGATTTGTGGATCTGGGTTTTTGTATTAAAAGCAAGAAGCGATCTGATTAACAACAGATTTTTGGCAGTAAAAAGAAAATAAATTGACACATCCTTTAGAGATGCTCTTTAGAGAACAAGATTTCTTACTTGAGTCTGAACTTTGAATTATAGTCTTTAACCTTCAGGAGAGGATTTTTAATCTTTGCGGTGTAATTCACTTCCTTGCAAGTCTATAACACTCTGTGTGGCTAGTCCTCAAGGCTTGCAGTGTGATTCTCCTTCTCCTTCTGGTGCATGAGGAAGTGCCTGTTGGGAGGGCTGGTAAGAGGTGGGCTGGAACTGTGCATAGTGCCTGATTCATTACTGCTCTAACTCAGCTTTACTTCATTTGATCATGGACTTCTACTGGCGTGGTTTATATTTTAAGATGTATTTAAGAAACTGTGAAGAGTGTTCAGGACAACGGATAATCCTCTGCTATCATAATTTGTAATGCAGTAATTTTTTTTTTTGTAACGCAGTTATTTTATATGCAATAATGATAATCAACGGGTATAGAGTTATTCATTAAGTTTTCATTCATTCCAGTTCACAAGAGGCAAATACTTTGTAGGAACCCAAGATTCCATTAAGTCTATAAAAGTCTCACTACTGACATTAGTGAGGTCAGGATTTCACCTTTTACCTTTCATAAATGCTCCATTGAGTTGTCAGGCTGCAACAAGGACATTCATGTCCATGTGTCAGAAATATTGCACTAGTGACTCCATTGTAAGAGATGCATCCTGGATAATTTTGTATGCTTAAAAAAATATCACTCTCCCTCAATTCTTAAAGAAACCTGAATTCAACAGAAATCATTAGGAATTAGAAGCACTACATTTGTCACAGCTCTTAAATCACCCTGCACTGACTGTGTCAGCTCTGCTTTCAGACATGAGATTTTTTACTCAACAGTTCCATTTCCAGATATAGCCACTTGTCTAAATGTCTGTGCAGTGGAAATAAGTATCTGTTGAAGAAATAAAATCAATTTATAGTGCGTACTCTTACCAGTGCACCAAAATTGTGACTGGTAAAAATCAAATCTATGCTTACTGGACAATTAAGCTTTAAATTTAGTATTTTTTTTCCTGCAATACCTTTGGCATTTCAGTGGGTTCATTGTATAGGCTGGAATCACTTTTCAGTTTATTGTGTGATATTTACCTTCTCCGAGTGTCCTCTGCAGCAAGTCATGTTTTGCTTGAAGTTTTGTGATGAGATTACTACCTTCCAGATATTCTCTGAATTTCTGTAGAGATGCAGATCAATCTATTACTATGTATGGCACATAAATTCCAGGAAGTTCTGCATAATTTTTACTTCAGGTGTTTGGTCTGTATCACATGAATGAGGAAGCAACCAACATACCATGAAATAGAATTGCTCCGTTTCCTGCTGGTTAGCTCTTCTTTTTGCAATGCTAGGCTTACTCAGGTATGTCTCAGAGACTGTTGACTTCACAGACTCCGTTGAGCGACTGTGCTGGAAACATTCTGACACATCATAGTCTTCAATGGTGACCATATCTTGTATTGTCTGCAGGGTAGCTTCTGTTGTTTTCTTAACCTGGTGTTAAAAAGCACAATTTACCAAATAGGAAGATAAATACATACCAGAACAGCTTAGAAGGGAAGCTCAGTACTCAAAATAATTCTCTGGTGTGCTCCTCCGAACAAACTGGTGTGTGAACGTGAAAAATTAGAGGTACTATAACAGATATCTATGTAACAGAAGAATGACATGATTAGGTTTCCTATTGAGCTCTCTGCTTTACCATGGTACAATCCGCAAACATGGATGTACTCTTCTGTTGATTGTGCAGCACTCTCAAGCATTTGTTTCCTGAAATTAGAATTGAAACATGACATGATTTGATTATGGTCCTTAATCTGGGACAACAGGTAATAGAGATGATCCATTGTTCTGAAGGGTCAACTCTCCCACGTGTGGTCAATGTGTTAGATTGAATGTGTATGTGCAAGGATCTGGCTGCCAGAAAAATGTGTTCTTCCAAAATAAAAATCTGTGACAGGGTTCTGCGGAGTGCTATGGTGTGGAGCACAGTGATGTTTAGACTGCAGAAATGGAATATACAGCTGTAGGAGAGGGCTGGAGAAAGAACAATTTACACCAGCCTCACAGCACTTCCTGTGAGCTATGGAGAGGACAGTTGCTTGTAGTGCAAACCAGGGCATGGAGGCTGTAGAACAGGGGATGCGGTGCTTCCGCAATGCAATAAAGTAACTGGCAAGATTCACAAGGGTGTGATTTACCTCCCAGTTCTGCTTCGGAAGAGTCTCTAGTAGAGTCAGCTTAACTGAATCATGCACACTTCTACACACGCCTCCTCTGTAGGCAAATACCCTGTTTTGTGCATGCCAACATGATTTTTCTCCCTATGCCCTTGCACTTCACTTTACTGAAAGAAAATATCTTTCTCCTTCCTTTTGTCTTTGTTACCTTGAGATACTTTCTGAAGTGAGATTTTTTTTAAAGACTACTGTACATGTCTCATGGACATTAATACTTTGTTCTAAGCATTCAGCACATAACATAGAACGAGAAAACCTGGAATCCTGAAAACTTGTCAAAAAACTACACCAAGAAATTAAATTATCCCTATGTTTTAATTTAGGAAGATTCTCATTTAAACTGAAGGCCTTTAACACTGTCTTAAATTGGATAAAAGTGCAATTTATACCCACTGGGAGGCCTCTCTCTGCTGTCAGAGCAGGGGAAAGAGAACAGCATAGCTTTACTGCATTTTACAAAAAAATGCATTTTATTTAGTAGGTGAGCTATTCCCATCACAGGAATTCAGTACTTGTGTTTATAAATAGCTGTATCTGAGAGCACAAGAGATTTTGACTCAGCTACCACAAAAGACAGTCCAAATTCCTTTGTACTTTGGAAGTAGCAATTTGGGGACTGGACAGAGGGTGGACACAGAATAGAGTAACTGTGCTCAGTGTCTTTCTGCCACGAAAGTTTACAAATAAGTGCTCTACCAAGTTTTCACTGAAGCATCTGCAAAACACAGAACCCAGTAATGTGAACGTACAGACAGGTAAAAGATGAAGTTTCCAAACCTCTAACGGCAGACAAAGGTCTAACTTAGCATATTTGCCAGTGTTTGTTTTTTTAAAAACTAAAACAGTTCATACAACTTGAAGCCATTTCAGGGTCACTTGCATGCTTTTGACAAGGTAGAAAACACTACATCTTCCTGAAAATGGCGTTCAATGCATAGCCCCTGTAGACACAGATCTTACCTCCTCATTTTCGATTTTGAGTGTGGCCAATCGCGACTGTAGTTGCTGATACCTAAGCATAAGCTCTGCTTGCACAGGTTGCTGGGCAGTGACCTGACAAACCTAACAAAGAATCAAAAAGAGCTGTAAGATGCAAGTAGGAAAAAAAAAAAGTCAATAGTCTTTGGTTGCTCTCCTTAAAACTAGGTGAATTCCTACCAAAGCCATTAAAACTTAATAAAGCAGACAATGAAATATTTCCACCTAAATTGAAAGCATTTATGTATTACAAGGTGTGGAACTACATACCACATCTTATGACTACAGAGCACAGCCTTGTTCTGTGGCTGCTTTGCATTGCTTCTCTATCACACAGCAACACAAACCCTGGAGTTACCTCCAAATAGAGATGTACATGGGTGATTCTGCGTTCTGCTTTGCTACTGGCCTTTGGTGTAGCAGAACAGGATACAGCTGGGGTACCTGGTATGCTTGAAATCTCCAGATGATAAAATGGGGGAGAAAGAAGGGGTAAAGGCTGCATTTCAGTGTGCATAATTTGGATCAGCTCTGCTGCTGCTCTCAAATAGCACCCACAAGCTCTGGTTATGGGTGAGGCTGGTAGTAAAGACATAAAGCCACTACTTACACCAAGTTGGCCAGCAAATCTGCAGCAATGCCATTATGAGTAATACAGAATATCATAACACACAACAGTTTTTACTTGAGAACTCTGAAGAAGCTCAGAACGTGCTGCCAGTTTTGCAAAATGTTATTGCTGATCCAGTTGCTTTTGGGTAGCGATAACAGCTTTTATGAAACTCTTTGTCAAAGGCCATAAATTTTCTATCTTGGTATACAGACACAGAAACAGTCACTATACAGACCTCATCACCCATATGAGACTGGAACTCAAATTTCACTGGTGGACAAAAAGCAGTGGGGTACATTTCCATGAATCTCTGTTTGTCACTTCGTGGCTCCAAGCTGTCAACTGCATTTTCAATGATGTCTAAGCCCTCATGCCTGGAAGTTTCAAGGTTATACTCTGCAGAAAGGTATGTTCTTAGGGCTCTGTTCAGACTAGCGTGGTATCCAAGATCACAACACTAAAAACACAATACAGGTAAAAGAAAATAAATTAAAAAGGAGGAACATCATTCCAATATCCCAAGTCACAAATTATCACTAAAATTTTCTGTCCTGAAATTCTTCTGTCTTCAAGGTATTTTATGAAATATCTTGTAAACTAAAATACAATACTAGGGTCAAGACAGTAAGTGTTTAGTATCCTCATTCTATTGCCAAGATTAAAGGTAAGTTTTAGAGAAGATATCAAGTGTACAAGTATGGCAATATGTTTGCATTTGTTTATCAGATACAGATGTGCAGTTACTGTATTTACATAGAAAAGGTCTGACTCCACACACAAGTGGGCTTTTCAGTATTGTCATATGTAATCCTTAGATCATCTGTTTAAACCCATCCTGCTGTAAGTCCACCATCTAAGTGAATGCTAGCACCAAAGTGAAAATGAAGCAATTCCTGCTCACCATGTCTGTGCCCAAACAACCAACCTCACAACTGCCTCTTATATTAGTGACCCATTTAAGATGCTTTTTGATGCAACGAGAATGGTTTAACATCCTTTCCGCTGATGGTGAAAATGTATTTACTGTAAACACCTTATTTCCCATGCTCAGACAGAGCCAGCAATGTACATCATGTTACTAAATGCAGAAAGTCATAATTTATGTCTTTTTTTCTAGGGGTGAGAATAACACTGGAATGTAATTGAAACCTAATTGGTAGAACATAAAGTTGTGTTTGTTCTTGAATTTTAAACATCCTCGGTTTGCATTATTCATGACTGCTTAATATTTTAGAGGAACAGCTGAATATATTTTTAAAATGTCACAGCAGTAGCGTATCAAGTGATTGTTTCCTTCATTTTTTTCCCCCATTACACAGTAAACAATATCCTCAGCTTCTGCTCTGAGAGCTTCCAGGTAATGGTAGAGGTATCACAAAACCCTCTGTCACCCCAATAGTGGCACATCAGTCTGCTAATTGCTGCATGCAAAGCAATGTTCTTTATTCAAACAGGGCTTTTAGGCTTGACTCAGCTCAGGGTAAAACTGCCCAAATGTCTGTTGGGAGAACAGTCTGCAGCAGACCAAAATATCCAACAGTTCCCATCTTACGGGTGTCTGGGAAATCGGTGCAGTTTTAGGAGAGACTTGTCCCCGTCAGAGGTCAACGCCTGGCTAGGGCAGTCAGGGAGCATGCTGCCCCAGGGCATCTGCCCACCCACAGTTTAAAATCGTCCTTCCCCGCAGGACTTGCAAGTAAACCGCAGCAGTTGGGTAAATCTGAATTCAGTCCACTGTAGACTATATTTGTATGCATATCTCCCTCACAGCTATTACAAACCCTTAGGACTCATGGGATGACATTTCCTTTCCTTTCCTCTTACTTATATAAAAAAGGAGAGAAAAAGAGAGAGAGGGAGATGGACACACAGATGCACACACTGCGTGGGAAAGTTTTCAACCTATTTACCATGCCTAAACCTGTGTGTAGAAGAGAAGGAAACCCCTCACACCTTGCCTTTGGTGCACTAATGACCAGTGATCAAACTGCTCTCTGAAATCTGACAACAGAGGGCTGTTTTATTCACAACAAAACTTCCAGAAAGACTAAGCTTTCAGTCTTAGCGAGTACTAGTTACTGCAGATGGGACAGTGACTACCCAAAAAACAGTTCTTGAACCATTTAAAGAAAATGGAAAAAAGATGTCATGTTCAATCAAACCCACATAAGTTAACCTCTCCCTTTTGCATTTATAGAATGGAAATTTGTGTTACACTTACTAAAACATCCACTCAACTTTTATACGAAAGCACATCCATATTTCAAAGACCTCCAGCCTAAAAAATATTGTTTCTAAAAGGAAAAGTCTCTTGGTGTTTTTCTCTTGTTCTATGTCAAATCAGATCTCATATTTAATTCACTATCTTAGATGAAAAAGACAGACTAAAAGTGCTGATAAGAAAGTGGAACAGGACAGCTGTTTTATTTCATGTGCATTAGTTTCAGCAAGACCACATGGAAGATTAAACTGCGAGGAAATGAGAAACAGAGGGCAATGCCAGGTTTAGCATGGCCAACTATCCATGTGTTATAAAACTACAAACATCTAGAGCCTGAATTTTGGCTCTGGAGGATTAATCTGAGTATTAATAGAAAGCTTATTGATTTACAGTTAGAGCTGTGTGGGTTTCTGATGCAGCTTTTTTCCATGTTGGAAGATAAGAATGCAGGCTTTATGCTGTGACAGTACCAAGAGCTTCATTATTTAACCTTTAATCTACTCAGCACCTATCACCATGGTCATCTTTTGCAGGTGATGGCAGCTGAACAGGGTAGCAAATACAGCTGCTCAGCCAAGAAGAAGGATTCTTCAAGTGAAGCAGAATATCCTGCCAGACTAAGGCATTTACTTGCAATGCCAATGCCAGTGGAGCACACAGGAACTGAATCTAGAACCTGAACGAATGCCTTATCACCAATGGCTCTTTGAGTGGAATTTAAAATGCCTGAATTTGGAATTTTGCTTCAATGATTCAAGTAAAAATAGTATTTGTATAAGTAAAGTTATTTTTTAAAAAACAAAAATAAACACTCATTAGACATCACAACTCTTACTTCTGCCAGACTACAGTTCATTTGCTTCAAAATTTGGAGACAAAGATAATTTTAACTGGGGAATGGCTCTGACACAATATCAACTCATGGCTACTGAGAAAGAACAGCACTTTTTTAATCCGCTAGCACTAGTGACATTTTTTAGAGAGAGTTGTCTATAATGCCAACGGCACTTCAGGTATTTCTTCATTACTAAGACTAAGAATTTAAGGTACTGCCAGTAGATTGCTGCCCCCACCACATCTTGCCTGACTAGGCTTGGAAAAAAATCACCAACCTTTCTGGTGTTGCAAAAAAGTACATATGTATGCACATACACATGCACGCTCATGCATGTACACACCATTTTCAGGAAAAAGCTGTAGATTTGTAGAAAGATTTGTAAAGTTCAACTGAGCAACCACACTGTTAGCCAAAATAAATATGTCTTTGAGGTTCACTAATCAGCACACCAAGGCTACAGCCTGGATGGCTAATGAGATCTGTTATCAATCTATAGTCTAGAGAGATGAGATGTCAGTCGGTGCAGTAAGACATGAAGATGAGAAATTAGAGAATGAAGTCATAGACTATGAGTTTTATTGCATTTCTGGATTCATAAAGACTTTTTGTTGGGCAAAGTGGAGGGAGATGAGTGATGCATTTGGGATATGTGTGAAAAATTAATTTTGTAATTTGCATTTTATTCTTATTTGGAATTAAATCTGAAGCAGTCTCAAGAGCATTTACTATCTCCATTGCACCCCAGAGTATATTTAGGCTTGAACAAAAAAACCTGTAGTGCTTAGCACAGACCTTCAACCAAACAACCAAGCTGCTCTTCATTTCATTTCAGGAATAATAATAAAATCCTAATGCCAAAGGAGAGAGAAAGTCATAGGAAAAGCCTTAACCTCTGAATAAGTCACTTTCTAATCATCCTGTTACACAGACATCAACATTCAAATCAAAGGGATCTGGCTATACATATCATGTTTATGAGAACTTATATAATAAAGATTGTGAGCTGCACACTACCCTAGCTTTAAACTTGGTTCTATGAATGATTAACAAAGAACCTTTACAGAATAAATTAAGTTTATAATAGCTAAATTTTCCCAAACTTCTTAATCATCCAAATCATGCAGACTGCAATTAGAGATTCAGAAACTCCACTCTAAGAAAGACCAACAAATGAATATTTTATTTATTCCAGCAGCACAACTACTGTCAAATTGTTTTGTTCACTATTTCCTAGCATTTATCTTCAGATCATATGAGTGCACGGTAAGTCTGAAAGAAGGTCCCTACCTTCTTCTTATACCAAGATAAATCTAATAAACTCAATTACATGGAAATCTTCAAGTAAATGAATAATAGTATGTGCCATATGGACAGATGTTGGTATTAACAGTCTGATGAGGAGGGGTGTGTACTCTGTTGCTCCTCTGAAACCCACAATCTTAAAAAAAAAATTCTGCATACTAGGTAAAGCTTATTCAATTTAGCTAGAAAGTAATCTTTACATGATACAAATAAATAAAAAACCTAATCCTGTCCTCTACTTGAACTAGAACCCGCTATAAAGTCAGCAGAGAAGTACACAATAGATAATTCAAATTCCTCTATTAAAATATGTAGAGGACAGAAATACACTGTGCATATCAAATCCTGTTTATCTCCCTACTTCTTTGCAAATGTTGGTCCCAACCCTCAGTTCACTAAATGCATTAAAACATCCAGCTAAGACTCCAGCAATACTTTTATCTTGCTTTTATCACAAGAGCTTAAGATGAACAACACATCATAATTTTAAGTCAGAAGCCCTGAGCTTTGTTAATGAAATGAAGGAGTTGAACAGTTCAGACCAAGTTCAGCTGAGGAACTGCAATTTAGGATTTTCCATATGAGCCTCACAAATGGAAAATGCAGAGGAATCCAAATGAAAAAATGATGGGGTTTTTTGTTTTAAAAAAAAAAAAAAAAAGTCCCACAACCCTCCTCAATCTTGTTACAAAAAATTATTGAACAGTTCACTGCATTCCTTCATGTATTTATTCCATTTTCATCAGATTTATTTTTCAGTAACATAGGAAAACATTTAGTTTCATTTATGGGCAACACCAATAGCTTGGGGAGATCTAAATCCTTTCTATGTTAACTGGAATTCAGACACAGAGGAGGGGTAATCCCCTTCTGTACATGCAAAGAGAGAGAGAGTTCAGGGAAGCACAGAAAGTCAGGCAGGCAGATGGGGACAAAACAGAGAGGGCAAAGAAGGAAATTGCCACCACTGCTCTGAAAACTCCGAATCGTACCATGACATTAATGGATTTACAGAATGAGATAGTCTGGACTGTTGCAACATATGGCCAGTGGCAAGCATGTCTCACATTCCAATGATATAACCCCAAAATCTTGCCAAGACTCTTGCATTTACAAAAAGCGTTTCCTTTGTCAAGTAGCAAACACTCTGTCTAGATACCAATGCTTTCAGAGCGTATTCTGATTAAATACAAATGTCTGAAAGACACTTCATTTAAACAAGTTCACAATTGGATTAAATTGGCTCTGAAGCAAATTCTTGTTGCACATGTTTACAGCCTACTCTTACAAAACAGTGATGCAAAGGGCTCCTAGACTTTCCATTTAAATTCCTTAGGGAAGAGTAATTTCTAAAGCCATTTTGCCAAAAGAATGTTACTGTCTATATTGGTCCACAGCTTGGAAAAAGCCACACAAAGTAGGTATCATTTTCCTGAGTTACTAAATATTGCAGAATGTATATTTCTGTTAAAAACCGGCAGTTAGAAAGCCTAGTCTACATGGTTCTGTAAATATCTCTTCATTCAGGGCAACGAAGCTGGTGAGGGGTCTGAAGCACAAGTCTTACGAGGAGCAGCTGAGGGAACTGGGGTTGTTCAGTCTGGAGGAGAGGAGGCTGAGGGGAGAAATTATTGCTCTCTAGAACTACCTGAAAGGGGGTTGTGGCAACGTGGGTGTTGGTCTCTTCTCCCAAGTAACTAGTGATAGGACGAGAGAAAATGGCCTCAAGTTGCACCAGGGGAGGTTTAGACTAGAACTGAGGAAAAATTTCTTTATGGAGAGAGTGGTCAAGCACAGGAACAGGCTGCCCAGGGAGGTGGTGGAGTCACCATCACTGGAAGTATTCAAAAAACGTGTAGATGTGACACTTCAGGATATGGTTTAGTGGGTATAGTGGTGTTGGGTTGATGGTTGGACTTGATCTTAAAGATCTTTTCCAACCGTAATGATTCTGTGATTCTGTGATCCCTAACTCCAAAGAGTGTTGTCTTTGTATATATATGCAGAGAGCTTCGCTTCTCCTCCCCGCCTTGCAATTCTTTGTGAAGCTCCAGGCCTGTGGTTCCTCCCCACAGCTTTCACTGCTACGGCAACATCTATGGACATTGACGAAATGGGTAAGAATCAGGTGCATTTTCCAACCTGAGAAAGTTTGATCAAGTAGAAACACACACTAGAGACATTCACTGGGAAATATAAGCTCCAAAAGGAAAGGCATGAGAGAAGACAAAATGAGCACCTTTCCAGCTTCTGAAAGGATGGGCATGCTGGGAACAGAGGGAAAGGGACCTCTCCTTCCTTCCAGCAGTCAAGAAGAACTCATAAAGTTCACGTTTATCAGATGTGCCCTAACTAGAGGCTAAAAATCCATCATCCTTTAAGCAGTATCAGGAAAATAATCCATTAGGTAGGGACAACTTCTTACTTGGGTGGTACCCTAGCAGGTATGCTGCTCGTCCTTAGTCTTCTACCCTGATCATGTCGAACAGAAATTGGGATCTTGGTAACTGTTTTCATTGCCTGGGCAGGCCAGGTAGGGGGAGCAGGATGCACAGGCGCATGGGTGTAGATTAGACAGGGACCGTGCACAGCAGAATAAGCCAGAAGAAATCAGAAGAGAGAAAACATGCAATAGTGAGTAGGAAAGAGGAATAAGAGATGTTGAGAAAGAGACAGCAAGAAATACTGAAAACACAAAAAAATTACATTGCCATCTCTTATAGGAAAGCAAGAAAGAAATAAAGCAAAACCAGGGAAAAAAGTTGAAAGGAAAAAGGAAAAAGTTATAACAAAAGCAGGCAAGATTTTATAAAATACAGAAAAAAATGGAAATGACAAAGAAAACTGACTCTCAGTATTAAGAAAACATATAATAAAACGCATACATGCAGATATTTTAGTTCATTCATCTCAAGAAAGCATTTTTCCCTTTCTCTATCAAGCTTTGCTCCTCCAGACAGTAAACATGAGAAACTTCCTGTCAAATGCTGTATTAATTTATGCTATATTATAAACCAGAGCTTAGCTGTCTTATTTTTGTGATGAACATCCCGGCAGAAACAAATGTATGTGAATGTTGTTTACTATTGTAAATAACAAATGCTACTGTTGCTGTAGAAAGCATATTTAAATATTTAGGATTTCACATGGGCCACAGGGGCGTACCCACTGACTTATTTAACACTACATTGCTAGTGAATGAATACTCTCGAGATTGTGTTTGTTGTCTCCAAATCTTCGCTGTCAAGTATGTAGTCAGCTTATGAAAAGGGTGGGACGTGATATGAGTGTGGGATGCTTCCTCCGTATCATGTAAAAATGTTAATAATACAGGTTCTGGAGACCAAATGCTGGTACAAGTCAACATCAGTGTATAACCTCATTCTCCTAGGATGTTCTCACAGTAATACTGCACTGAAAATCAGTAACAATTCTGTTGATAGTATAGAGCACAGGATTGATTGTGTCTGTTCCGCAAACAACATGAAATAAGAATAAAAAGAACTGTATATTTGATTCAATGAATAAATGAATGAAACTACATGATTTTGAAGACACGGAGGAAATGCCTTCTTTTGAGTTAAATACCATTATTAGATGCCCACTTAAGAAGCTTATCTTGTAAAAAATATTTGTACCCCAGAAATCCTTTCATAGTACAAAATGGAAATGTCTACCTTTTTTGTGTTATTCCTGTCATATTTTTTCTTGCCACATGGGGAGAAAACATAATGTTCTAACTTTAAAGGAATGGGTTCAGCGTCTTACTGGCACTTTATTTGTGAAATATAAAGCTAAAGGGAAAATCTGCTGATTATACCACACAATATTATAAATGATAAGCGTATTGTAGGCAACCCGTATGATTAATGTATTCCCTTCAAAAATGAAAAAGAAAAAAAAAAAAGTAGTATTATTCCTGAACAGAATGAACATAAAAACAAATGAGCCAATACTTACGTCAATTAAATCCGAAAGGTCATGAATATAATACTTGAAAACAGAAGCATTGGTTGCTTCAAGGGTGAGCAGGTATTCATTACGGGCCTTAATAGATTTCAGCTTGTTTTCAGAATATTTTGCTTGACGCTAGGAAAGAGATTGTGTATTAATGTATTTGAATTACTTAATTTTTGGTATGTAGCAAAAATGGTAACTATTCAAGCACACATTCCTATTAACAAGGAAGAATCTTAATTGCCAGCCTGTTATGCATACAACAAATGTAATACAAAGTGATAACTTAGTATTTTGTTTTAAATGTGACAAACTATATAGGAAGAATTATACTGGGAATAAAGTAAACCATATAAGAAGAATTATACCAGGAACAAAAAATTCCCCTCTCTGAACTGCAATTAAGTCAAGTTATCTATAACCCACTGCTAGTTTATTATGTGTACCTTATTTAATTTTAATTCCCAGTTGGACTTCTCTGTCTAATATCATGCTAAAGAATGTCAGAAATGCACTGAATTTATTTCAAATGAAACTAAATAAAAGGACTATTTACTTTTTCCTTCATTTTTTCAATCTTTTTCACAGAGCTCCGTCTCTGGTGCCTTTCTTCTAGTCGAATATGAAAAACAGGGTCTCCTGACCTCCCAATCTGTTTTTCTTCTTGCTTCTCTGCCTCCTTCAGTTTGCTTTCTGCACTGATGCTCTCTGCATGATACATGTGGTATGTTTTCATGACCTGCAAAAGACAAGAATCAAGGGAGAGTTAGGAGAAAATGAAAATGTAAAGCTATCTACAGAAAAATCACAGGGTCTTTGAGCAAAATATTCTCTTATAAACATGGACCCTGGATAAATTTCTTTGCCAACAAAGACTAAGGACTTCTGGTTGCATTTTTTCTTTTCTGATTTATTTAACAGTATCCCAATAGGGATTTTTTTTTCATTGCTCTGATAGGAAAGAGGTCAGGATTCTTGCCTTTGAATGAAAACCTGAAATAATGAGCAATAAAACTAAATGTATATCAGTGCCATATCTATCTGACTTCTTCAGGGCAAAGTTAACGGTTCGGCTGTTGATGTTGCATGTTTGAAAGCAGAAGGACCCCTTCAGCACTGCGGAAAGGGGAAGGAAGCAGAGGCAATGGGAAGCTTTGGTATGGGAGCACCTCCCCAGCCACCTGGATGGCTGTCCACGGCCTGGAAAGAAGTGACTCCCAGCTGCACAGATTGGGCACGACGTAAAACCAGATGAGACCTGGAGAAGGAGCCGCCTGACACAGAAGTTGTGAAGATGCTTTCCCCACAACCCCCCAGTTAATACCATTATCTTCCCTTTACACACACACTGGCTCTGCAGCCAAGAGAGCTTGGGCTGCCAGCCTGCATGCACAGACCACACAGAGGGAGAGGAACTGATTCAGCCCAGTCCTCCCTTCTTCAAGCAAGAAAGACCTCAGCCTGAATGCTGATGGGCAGCAAGCAACCACAAACCACCCACCTCTGCTGGGGAGGGCTGTCTCTGCCCACCTCCAGCAAAGAAAGCCTCTTTCCACCTTCCCCAGCTCTTTTTTTTTTTGCAGTTGATTGCTGTTGGTTTGTTTAGTTTTGTCTTAAGTTTCAAGCAAGGAACAAAGCAGGAAGGCATCCTCAGGTGGCCTCCTCTCTTCTTCACAGGGTGCCTGAGCTCTTGCCAACAGATGTTATCTTTGGGCCAAGGCCATGCAAGCTGTTCGCATCTCCTCTGAAGGACACAGCCAGGGAGGATCAAATGTGTCCTCTCCCTCGGCAGAGCTTTGTGTGACCCATGGAGCAGACACACTAGTTTGGGGACCTGCCTTGAAATATTACCTAGGGAGAGGAATAATTTTTATAACTGAGTAGTTAGGCCAGCCTAACGAGCAACCATAGAGTGGCAACACCGGGGACACTAAAGCTAGATAGTGCAAATTCACTGCAGCATGACTTAGCATGCATTGACATAACTGTACGCTATGTCAGGTGATGGCTGAACTGGTGCACATTTAAAGTCTTGTGCAACAAGAAGCTTTGAGGGAGATGTAATTTTGCATAACCATGTACGTTTACCATATACATATGTATATATACCATATACACCATAACTGGGCATGCCACTCCTTAATACTGATGCCAAGCTGTTGATACAACTGAAATAGTATTGATATTAAAAATGAAACAGGCAACTCTTCACTAATTTCCTGTAGTAAGGTAAAACAGTTGGAGATGTCCATCAAAAAGAGTGGCCTTGTTTTTATTTTTAGAAACATATGTTTACAGCTCTCTGCTGAAAAAGCCCAAACTGCCTGGAGCAGGGCTTAGTGTTACTGCTGCTGCTGCTATTTTATAGCCTGACCAGAGTGCAGAGCTCCCTGCTCAAGCACTGCCTACACCCGCTGGCAACAGCCGCTGCCCCAGCAGCTCACAGTCTACATGCATGAGGCAAAAACCCAAAGATGAACAAAGCTGGGCTGGGAAGAGAAGGCAAGCCCGCAGAGCTGAGATCTGCACGGTTCCCAGCTTAACCACATGGCACGTTCAGCCTCCTGTATCCTGCACAGTTACAAAGGTGTTCTTAAAGTTGTCGATAAGTTGTGCCTGGGGACTTGAACTCATACAGCCACATGGAAATAAAAGAATTACTGCAAAGAGAAGAAATGCACTCCTTAAAGAAATTATTTATAAAATAAATCTGAGAGGCACAAAAAGTGATACATGGCTCTATTAAAAATGATGGAAAAAGGAAATTAAAAACAAGGTTTTGCCTTTCTCATTTGGCCTTTTTATTCAATTTTTTGAGTGCTTCTCTACAGAAAGCTACAGGTGTTAGCTTTTACTTTTACCTTTTGTTCTGTGTCAGCTTGAGACTTTTTAGTTGGTGGGACAAGGCTAACCCATGTGTCCTACCACCCAGAAAAGTTATTTTCTTTTGTACTCAAGTTTTTCTGCGTGCAGAGGGAACAATAATAATGCCTCAGTTTCCTAACAGCACATCTCAAAGCATCTGACTGAAGTGGTGAAGCAAGGATTTGTTCTGCTTGCCAAAAGCAGTAAGCACCAAAGTTTTTTAAACAATTTTTCTTAGTGCCATGTAGCCTAGTGGACTAAGCATAAATGTCCTTCTGCACTGGCTGTGCCATTTCACCTTGCCTCCTTGCTGAGTGAAAGAGTACAAGTATATCGCTACCAGGTCTCACCAGGAGGCTCAGATGTCTCCACGCTGACTGCGCTAACCTCACATCACTCAAGAGTATTTCTTCCTCTCGCTGCCTGCTTACAGCACATGCTACCAAATCCAGAGTGTCTCACTCTACAACGACTGAAGTCAAGTTTTGTGTGAGAACTACATGGAGCTCATAGTCTCTACAGGGAACCAAGATGTCTACTTAAAATCCATGCTCTCGCAACAAACTCTGCACAAGTTCTTGGTTCAAATGATTCCTAAGATAACTAAAATTGAAAACGAAGCCGTCCCTTTGGCAGCATTCACAGGGCTGGACAACAATCACAGCCGGTCCTACCCGTGTCACACTGGCTTAGAAATCAATACAGACTCTGTACAGAGCACTGATCAGCCTATGCATTGGACTCCTGTTCAGTTTGTTATGCTGATAGCATTGCTTATCTCATCCACCAGTGACATCATTATTTTGCAAGCCTCTGGGGAAAGCTGACAGCTCCAGCCTTTTTCATGATTTGTCAGTGTTTTTTAAGAGCTGATATTACAGCAGCTAAACTTAAGTCGAGAAAGCATCAGAGACACAAATGGAAAATAAATGGGAACAAGCTATGAAGTTGGCTTCCAAGTATTTCAGTCCACATTTCCTCAACAAATTAGCTTAGAATTTGCATGCTAAGTTGCATATATGACTCTTTAACATTATACCATCTTTTCTCCCTGGAGTTTTTCAAAGACTGTTAGATACTGTAAAAGACAGTAAAAGGCTTATCTAATTCTTGTAAATAGACTTACTGTAATGAAGAGTTCTGAGATACACAGATCTCTGATCTGTCAATACGTAACAGATCCATAGATGTTATTCAGACGACAAATAAGCTCATGAAATAAGCAATACTGCTTCTCAAATGTCCACCAAACTGTTGAACTGATAGACTATCCTGTGAGAGTATCCATCACTGGACTGACTTTAATTAGTCCCCAAAGTGCTTATTGATCAGCCGTCAAGTATGCACTGAAAAGAGAGAGCAAGGCTGTAATTCTGCAGATGCTGAACTGTCATTGTGACATATGCTGCGCTTCGCTGTTGTGAGCAAGCATTGTTAAATGCATACTAGTACCTTTCTAGAATTAAACGATGAGTTGATCTGCTATTAATTTAGCAGGTTTATTCTGCAGTGATGTAAAATATAGATTTCTGTCAGATAACTAAGTCAGACTACAAGCAGATAAAAAAGATTATCCTAGCCAACCTATGTACTCTCCCACTTGTAGGTGACAGACTGTTCACTTAGTGATATAAATGTCTCAGTTTGTGTGCCAAATTTTCAGCATCATTCATAAGAGCTCAGCAAGCAGGCTTAGAGCAGAAGATAGCACTTATGATAGGGAAGGGCACCTTAGAGTAAACACTTAGATAATTATTTTAGTTAAACCCACAATTGGTACCTTGGCAAATCCATCAACAAGACAGTAATTAGTGCTGTACTTCTGTGGGCTACAAGAGAGGAACGCTCCCATAGCAAGGTGCTGGCTTTCCTTTTCCACAGTTCTCTGCTAGAAAACTTCTTAACCTAACATACTAAGACTGAATGATACAAAGTTAAAAGATATTGGAATTACCATGTGTTACCATGTGCTCTAGGGAATAGGCTTTTTGCAGACCAGTAATTCATCCCTGTTGCAATTACCGTCTTTGAATTGTTTCAGACTTTTCTCTGCTGTCATGAGTTCTTATCAGAAGGTGGAGTTGCAAGGGATTCATTAAATCAGGTTAGCTAGTGCTTTCCCCACGAAATAAGTAAAATCTTATGTCAATTTTACTACACCGGTGGCCTCTAGCAGATAAGTAGGCTCAGTATTGGCTATTTTCAGCATCCTGTTCACTTCCAAACCAACCTCTGATGTGGTTCTAGGAATTGTCACTGATATATTACTAGCAATACAGAATTACTCATTTCACCTTCTCAGATCTCTGGTGTGCTACAGTAAATTGAACTTAACTTTTCTATAGGGAATCCAGATTCCGTGTTATTTCAGCAAAGAAAAAAGAAAATCTGGCAGTAACTACCTTGAGAAATTAAACTAAGCCAAGATTTTTAAAGAGTAAGATAAAGCAATGGAAAATGCAAGCAGCACAGCAGCCCGGTCTTATTTAGTATTAAATTGTTTGCTTTGGACTGTCCCTACTTTTTCATTTTTCTGAAAGCCTTACATTTGTATTGCTCATGAAAAGGGTGATGCCAGTAGGAGTAATTTGGAAAGCCAAGTGGGAGACGTGAAGAAGCATTTTTATGATATGCACCACTTTTCTCCAAAATTCGCCCTTATCCTTATTACCAGAACAGCTCTGTATTTTTAGCAAACTTGTCACCTCATTGATCCCTTCCTGAGTCTTTTAGAGGTCATTTATGAATATGCCCTGGCCCCTAAATAAATCCAGTGGAGACCTCCCTCCATTGCAAGAAAAGAGTCTGCCTACCTTCTCTTTCCTACCATTTCCAGTCACTCAGATGTTATTGCCATATTCCAATACTTGCTCTGATAATAGAAAATATTTTAGCTTTCCAGAGAAATGGAAGAAGAGTTTGACCGGGGAGCGCTCTCTGTTGCAAAGTGCTTTCCCCACGAAATAAGTAAAATCTTATGTCAATTTTACTACACCAGTGGCCTCTAGCAGATAAGTAGGCTCAGTATTGGCTATTTTCAGCATCCTGTTCACTTCCAAACTAACCTCTGATGTGGTTCTAGGAATTGTCACTGATATATTACTAGCAATACAGAATTACTCATTTCACCTTCTCAGATCTCTGGTGTGCTACAGTAAATCAAAGATCATCTATTGTAAAATCAATAATCTGTTGTCTCTTTAAGTCAACACGTAAGAAGATTTCTAAATCTCTCAGTTCACAAAGAACACCAACCCTACAGTTTTCAGTTCAACCAACTTTTTTCCCTGTAAATGCCAGAAAATAAACTCTGCTCTGTGACCTCACTCAACAAACTGGGCTCCTTTTTCCCCATCCTCATTCACTCAAAACCTATGCCTCACTCTAGTTTCAATAGCTTATATCCTTATGTAAAACATGGGACTAATTGTTAGTCTACATTGGCTAAAAGTGCAGTAGGGAGAGGAGTAAGAAAGAGGAACGCCGCAGCTGGCATGCTGCACACCTGAAAACACTGACTGGCTGGCACAGCCAAGGGAGAAGCCATGCACAATTAAAAGTACTCATCATTTATAATTTGCTGACCTTGCAAAGATACAGAGTGAAGCTTAACTATTCACTTGTTTTTAGTATGATGTTTTGATCCATAATTTAAGAACCAGTGCATAAAACACCTATTGAAAATATAGTCTTAAAATACATTTTCGCTAGTCATGTGAGTCACATGTAGAAAACATATAAATACGCAATGAAACATGTACGAAAACCTTCTCTACATAAAAGAGATGGAAAATTAAGAAGTAAAGTCTCCCTTAAAAAATTCTGATTATTCTAGCAAAATAAGCCTGCTTCCTCACAGATTCTTAGAACATCTTCTGAAGCTGTGGTTCATCTGCGTCTGTTCTTATTTTCTCAACAATCTTGTACAAGATGTGTAAATTTAATGAGGATGGCACAAGCCAAAATCAACACAAGATAAGCTACTCCCAGGGACTAAATGAAGACCTACAGTACAAATCTCCTATTTCCATGATAATTCCTAGTAAAGGGAAAGGGAATTAATTACATAAAGTGTTAGCAAGGAGAAAGGTCTCATTAGCATGCATTTTTAAAGAACAGTAGATATTTAATACTCCAAAGTGTCTGATTTTTTTTTTTTACATTTCATTGCAGTTCTGTTATTATACATTAAATAAGCTGCCAAAATGCTTTCTAGTCTCTCTCTCTCAAAAGGCAGAGGTTCAAACATTCTAAAGTTAAAAAATATCTTTGAGCAGAAAGTTTTTTAAAATGAAAATCTTCATAATGCACCCTTAGTGGAAGGTGGCATGTCTCTTCAATTTCTCAGTGATTTCTTATTTTCTTCTCTAGAGCAGTTGCTTCTTTGCAAAATCCACAGCACTGCTTATTGACTTGTTTGATCTAAACCCCATCAAAAGCAATGGACACAACTCCCTAACTACAGCAGGTTTTAGATCTGGCTCTATGAACAGGTTAAAAAGGATCTTCTGAGGCAGAAGTGCAAGACTAGATATTCAGAGATGGGTCCCAAAGTCACCTTTTTTTTCTCGCACCTTCTATGATATAGGAGACTAGGACATTTGGTACAGCGTTATCACCAGAAGAAAAGTCAGTTATTATTCTGATACTTAGTAGCTTGTGTTTGAACTCATCCATTACAAATATTTGGACCAAATCAGTAGCACTTCCTTTAAATATCCTATTTATTCTGGATCATTTTAGATAAACTGCTCTTGAGATACTTGCTGCTTGAGAAATCTGAAAGTAGGTGTGGTGAGGCCTCAGGTCTGGCTGACATGCTAGAGAGGGGTGGTAGACCTCACCATTTGGGTTTGAAACAAGCAGTTAATTCAACCCTTGACCCCATATAATTAGAGAAATCCAGGCATGTAATGTCTTAATACATGTGCCTAAGGGACTCACTCTTTGTCTGAGAAGTTCAAGGAGTAACAAATAGAATATGCACTTTCTTTACAGTGACTATATGCCTGTGCCTCAGAACAAGCACCTCTTACTACTTTAGCTTTTCATGATTTTAATTCTCTTCTCTCATTCTCTTCAATGCACTTTCACGCAAAACTGTTTTTTAATTCTGGAAGATAACCTTAATTTACAGACCTTTCTTGTAAGACAAGGAATGATGATAAGAAGTAAGCAGATTATTAAACCTTTCTTCATACACATACTTCCCCCTCACTCAAAGGCTTTAGAGGTATTTAAACTCCAATAAGGCTTCACATTTTAACAGTTAATACTTCATGAGGGTACGATTCCTTTAAAAAAAATGTAACCACATAGTAGGGACAGACTTCAATATTAGTATATTATTCATGGACTGGAAAACAATTTACTTTCTTTTGGACACAAAGGTTTGTCTCACAATAGTAGGATTGAATTTTTTTCCTTTTATTTTTTTCCCCCTATAAATCATGGGGCAAACAGGACGATGACTTCTCCTTTTTTAAGTGACTTGAGAAACATAACCCCTGGAAATTAAAATTGTAGATACTTGTTTTGGTAAGGCCACTATGATCTTATTCTGTAAACAGTAGATGTCACACAGAATTAAAAACTTGTGCATGAGGTTTCCATCTGTCTAGATATTGGTGTATCTTTATGTACACAAGCAGATATAACACACAGATATGCTGATGATCACTCTAAACATGCAAGCAGTGGAACAGATGCTACTCTGCACTATAGTCGCTTTACTAAGCGTGGGTTGTATCTGGCTAAACGTGGGCATCTACAGCTGACCAAGACCTTTGCAACCAATGAAAAACTGGACAACAGAGTTAACGGTGTAGATCATTTAATCTGAACCAGATGTTTGCATCCGATCAAAGGGGTCTGATCTCCCCATATTAGACTTCCAGTGACTATAACTGGAACCCAGATGGTAAGCTAAGATATTTGTACCTACACTGCAGGTGCCTGAAAATCAGGTGAAGTAAATTCATTCCCAAGAAACCATCCTGCAGCAGTAACCTAATTCAAATTGTGCACATGCTCTGTATTTTAACTTCAAAAAACTTCCTATTTTACAAATATTTTAAATTCCAAGAAAGCAATTAGCATTCACTGGAAGCCGTAACATGGAAGTTAGTATCTGAATAAACCTGTAGCCATCAGTGGGAAGGTATAGCACTAGTGTGAAGAAAAAGAGTGAAAATACCAAAGTCCAGTCCTGCAGATTTTCACTGGTGATTCAGCAAAGTATTTCAGCACGTGCTTCACTCTTTTCCTACCCTGCGCGCACGGGCACTAATCGTGCACCTCGCCAGGCACTGGAGTTATGCAACTGTTTAATTGAAACAAGATGGTATCTTCAGGGCTTACTCACTGCTGAAGCCCCACTTGTGCAATGGCTCCTACAGTCGCTGATCCCTGCAGCTGTGTGAATTGTCTGTGGTTACCACTGCTTTGCAGAAGCTGATCCCAGCATATTCACTGACTACAGGCCTGAGCCAACAAGGTTTTGCAGCATTGCACCCTACAAAAACAGTGGTGATTTCAGAAAAAAAAAGCCCTGAAGAAAAGCACTCACAGTAATAAAAGAAGGTTTTAGGAATCTGTGTCCATAACTGCAATCCAAAACAACCCAGGCCGGTTAGACGTGTCTCATTTTCTTTGGATCTCCTTTTTGCCACCTAAGTTGTTCTTGAGTTCAAATGTTCTTCAGCCTGTCCACTGATGGGTGCACAATCTTCCCTAGGCCAAAAGCAAGACTGCCAAGATGCACAAAAGTAATGTTTGACTGATCTCTGCCTGAGGAAAGCTCGTCTCTGATATCTTCCTAAACCTCCTTAAAATCACAAATTGTTTCTTGATAATATAATTTTTTTACAGTCCCCCAAGTCTTGAGGATAGGGAAGGAAGCAGCCTAGAGATTGTTATGCAGGGTACTGGAGCACAGATCTTTCAGTTCTTCCAGACAGAAAAGAGAATTTAGATGTACAGCTTCCTCAACCAGCAGGAGTCAACAGACTTTTATAAGAGGTAGATGTCACCAGTTCCTTCTCATTGTATAGCAATGTTTAAAAAAAAAGTAATTCTAGCTTTCTTCTTTCTCAAAACATATCCCCTCAGAAAAATATTTGGGGAAATAGTTATTACGTAGACAAGACATTATTCTGTAGTAAACAAGTTGTATAAATGGGTTTCAAAGACAAAAATATATTCAGACCTAACTTCTGTCAGATTTTCCAATGGGTCAGCAGCAGCTTGCCAGAACGCTCACAGTGGTTTTTTCCTGACCTCTCTAAATGGTACAGAAAGCCTACACAACTCTCTATTTTTCTTTTCATTATTTACTGATTCCAATCAGGGAGCAGGGAGGACATGTAAGTAACATTTAGACAGCACAGCACTCAATCTGCAAGCACCTATGATTTTTACTGAGTGTAGTCCACAAGTCAAACCAAGCAGATAGCAGCATGGACAAAAACAAGGCAGAAAAGGGAGAAGCTTTGCTCTGGTAAGCCCTAAGTAGAAATGTCTCAGTAATAATCAACAAACTTATAATAAAATGGTTTAGTGTAGTTTGTGGGGAAAAAGGGTTGAAAGTAAAGAGTAATCCTGAAAGCATTAGCATATGTATTCTAAACAAGTGAGTAGTCTTTCCAAATGAGATAGTTTAGACTTGTGTAAAAAGGCAAAAATAAGCATCTCCACTGGGGGGTTAGCTTACTAGATAAAAGGCCACTTGAAGCTTATAGAAGTAGTCTGATATGGAATTTGTATACGATAAGCTAAGTAAGTAACTGTACTTACTGTGTAAAGCTCGTTAAGTACTTTCATTAAGTCTTCATGAAGCTGAAACGCAATCTCTTTGCTCTGTAATTAAAAAGAAATCATTAGAAAAAGGCATGCAAAAACTGCAGCATACATTTGCTTCTTGATATTCATACTCATTGTTCATCCTAGATGGTGAATGCAATGTTGCTCACAAAGACACCGGTCTGACAGAATTACAGTGTACTAAAAATAATGATTCAGGTATGTAGAAGTAGACAGATAACATCTGGACAGAAGACTTCCAAAAGGAAACCCAGAAGTAATGTGAGAGATTTTCCCATGAAGCATCAGGAAATTAGGTGCCAACAGAAAGGGTGAAGTTCAGGATTAGAGTTACAAGCCTGTTATATTATACAACTGATTAGAGTTATAATGGAACAAACTGTGTACTGTTTTATAACCGCATGGAATGTGATATTCCAGAGGGACATCCCGCCCAATTTTACATCTAGAATAGTCTTTGTTTCTCAGCACATGCAACTATCTAAATATTTATGCAAGAAATAATTGTGGCTCCTCTTTGAAACAGATACCCAACTGCATAATATTCCACAGAGCGGGCTGCTGAAACAGCTTTGTTTAGCTTTTCTGGACTGTGTCTTTACTTTCATTCTGACCCAGAAAAAAAGAAATGCTTAGCAGTAGTTATTAACAAAAGCAAGTATGTCAAAATAAGAGTACTTAATTGGAGTCTCATTCAAATATATTCCTTTGTTAGTTGTCCATAGCAGTTCAATCAGATGAAAATTGTGGCAACTGTGCAAGAGTTGAAGGCATTTGTACCATAGCCTTTGGAAAACAGCTATAGAATAGAGCTACAGGACCTGGCAAACGGCCTGGCTATGTTTCTTCTGCGATGCTCAGCACTGTAACATCCATGCTGGAAATGTCAGCTTTTTTTTTTCCTGTGAATAAATTGATAATTAGCCCGACTTTTAAAAACTCCAACTTCATGATAGATGATTTCTCATAGCCTTAGCTATGAGAAAAACTTGTATTTGTATAGAGGCCAAAGGAAAATCCTCAGGGGCAACTCATCTCCAAAGCTGCTAACACATACTTGGCCATCACTAAAACACCTGCAGGAATAATGGTTTCTGAATGAGAATTTCCAGTGCAACGCCCACGTACGAGGAGGAACCATGCCATACATCCCACCCACTGCGCCTTCTAGGAGGATGAAACAGACACATACAGTAGCTGGAACAGGAAACTTTGAATTTTTTCTCCTGTTCCTACTGTCATGCTCCTAACTCTGGGCAATATTTTAAGGAACCTGCCATATCATTTACCAGTATTCACTCCCATCCCTATGTGCATGATGATTTTTAACTGACAAGAAGCTAGAAATACAAATTAAAAAACACTTCAGTGAAATTATTCTATTCCCAAGAGCATTAGCTGTAGTAGCTAAGGCACAGTGAGACAGATGCTCTGAAACCAATTTACACAGAACTACTATGAAACTTTCCTTATTGCTTACACTTTTCAAAGTCTGGTATTTTTCATGAGGTATGCTTTACTACTGGAGTATCTAGAACATAAGGCTTACTACTTCCATTTCTTTGCAAAGATCAGATTATTTTCATCTAATATTACGGACAAAAATTCATATGCATAACAGTGCACAGAGTGCTTGTAAAGAATTGGCAAAGGATTGCA